AAATAAAATAAATTACGTGTGTAAATAAATATTAGCATACATAACCATAAAATCTCTCTGTGGCACATAACACTTTTTGCAGACACGTAGCACTTTTTTTGATCAATATGCTTAGACAAGCACAGCTATGATATAAAAAACTTGTGTGAAAATACTTAATTAGAAATGAAAAAAACATATTTTTTAGCAATGGATATTTCATTGCTTAGTTTTAGTTTCGCTTTAATTTTAGCAGTAAATTCAACCGCTTAGCTCGTATAAACTTAGCCTGGTTTTCGAAACGTCAAATGAATTCCAAAAAATTTGATTTTTACGTTTAAAAGGTTTGAGAGACGAATATTTTAAAATTAAGCAAAATTTGCCTTCCAACTTGATTAGTTTTTATTTTTTATTTTTATTTTTTTTGCTTCTAGTATTGTAGTATCTAGTATTCATTTTTACATAGTGGAAATTACAAAATTAATTCAAATCAATATTAAATATTACTTGTATGAACTATTAACAATAAATAATAAAAACTTGTTTAAATTAAATAATATAAGATAGGTAAATTTTAGAAGAAGTAGATAAGTCAATTAGTATATTAAGATTGTGTTATGAGCATATTAAATAGTAAGTTATAGATTATTATATAGATAGTTCTGATGGAAGTAAGTGTTTAATCGTCTATTATATGTGGTTTCGTTATTTGATAGCTGCCTAATTGCTGGGATAGGATGGGAAAGTAATCTATCTGTGTGATTTTTATTTTTTTTTTAGATAGCGTTTGCGACAAAGGGTATCTTTAAGACACGACGAATGTCATAATTTGAGATGTACCAGTTAACATTGATAATAGTCTTAAGTATTTTTGATTGGATTCTTTGTAATATTTGTATGTTGGATTTGCACGCTGTGCCCCATATTTCAGCTGCATATTTTCATATTGGAGTGATTATATACTAGGAGTATATTTACCACAGAAAGTTTGGATTTTGAGCAGAAGAGAATTGACAATTGACCAAGGCGACGTTTAATTTCATCACTTTTAGCTTTGATATGGTCTTTCTAAGTTTATCTGCTATCTATAGTAATACCAAGGTAATATGCCTTTTTGTGTGTGAAGACCTCATCGTTGTTAATTTTTATACGTTTTTGGTCATATATTTTATTCGTGTAGATAACATGTACCATGTTTTACTTGTATTTATTTTAATTCCCCATTTGTCAAACCATTCCAGCGATGCGTTTAAGTAATTTTGCAAGTTGTCTGTGGATTTGTCAAGATTTTTATTACCTGCTATTACTGCTGTGACCCCACTTAATTGGTGACGTTACAATTTAAACAAATTAAAGTACAAGCCGGATTTGGAATATATAATGGTGTTACACAAAAAATATAACCAATAAAATATTTCTTGGAAATGCTTTATACCTATTTTACATACTCTTAGTGACACAAAACTCAATTATAAGACGGAAATACGAAACTGTACTCGAGGGAAGCTGGTAGAAATAGTAACAAACAGAATTAATATTGTTACGAATTTGCCCTTTTATAATTATTCTATTCCCGTTCGTATCTCTGGATTGTCAACAAATGCCAAAAGGAAACACATTATTTTAGTTGTTGATAACTATATAACTGTATTTACTCTTGCGTTGCTGTTTGACGAACAAAACAGATCAAACTTTTTAATACAAACTTGAACTCTAATCTAAAAACTGAAACAAACTAATGTACTAGTAGTGCCAAAAAAGTAATTATCCGTTACTTTGTATTCGTTACTCAAGAAATACCGGAGTAACGAATACAAACTTTTTATTGTATTCGTTACTTTTACTCATTTTACCAATGAGTAGTATTCGTTTTACCTACTCTTTTGAGTACTTGGTAACGATTACTTTCAACAGCTGTTTTCGCGGTTTAATAACAACTACTTTATTCAAAAATTTTGTTCGTTTTCAAATTTATTAAAAATGTGTGAAAATATTAATAATAAAAAAAGTGAAATTTGGATTCATTTTGAACCAGTAGGAAGTGAAAAAGCTAAATGCAGATTATGTGGAACAAACTATTCAATAAAAGGTGGTTCTACTTCAAATTTGAGAAAGCATTTAAACATTAAGCATCCCACGGTCCTAAGCGCCGTTAATCGGAATCGTGAAGTAACGAAACCGCAGTAACGAAAGCGCAGTAACGAAAGCGCAGTAACGAATACTGAGTAACTAATACTGAGTAACGAATACTGAGTAACGAATACATACTCGAAAAGTAACGGGTAGGTACGAATACCCAAAAGTAACGAAGTTTGGCACCACTATTACGTACTAGATTTGGATAACACAAACTACGTGCGTTAATATTACACAAGGCTACGTTTTAGCTAAAGTATTTGATTATACAACTAACTTTGTTCTAGGAATGCTTATATGAATAATTACCTGAAGTATTATTGGTTGGCTACCTCTTAACAATATATCTTACGCTAAGAAAATTATTTCGATAATAATTACAGTCATCCCACGTTCTTATCTGTTATTCCACAAGGTATGTGTCTATTATATTCAACACTACTTATCCTACACAAACATATGTTTAAAAACGATGACAATAACAAGACCATATTATTCATAAATAATATGTAGTCTCTCATTAAAAATGACACTACAAACTCAGATAGTTAACTAAATATATAAGCATTCCACCACTCTATATTAGCCATATAGCTAACTACCTCCAACCAACAATTTAATGTATTATATAAATGGGTTTACCACTCAGAAGTCGTTTTATCCGTTTAACCGAGCGATCATCGAAGAGTTGCCATTTCAATGTCAGAACACGTTCTAACCCGTAATAGCACTCATATCCTCACGCTACAGATAAAACGATATACCTCCTCATCGCGGGTAAAGTTGTGTTTACTTTGCATTTATAGTAAAAGAAGACTGACTACAGAAATGATCCTGTGAAGTATAGTCTTAATTTTACCTACGAATTCGTGGACTTATAAGTGTACACGTATATCAAGCAATTGAGAATTATAAATTTCACACAATACAAAATTTATGCGATTTATATATTTTCACCACCAAACATTTTACAGCACATAATTACAAAAACAAATAGCTCTTCAATATATTCAAGAACACAGAACACAATCTATAAAATGGCTATTGTATGTCTTAAGAAAAGATTATTTTTTATTATACCTCAATTCTTTTGTAGAAACTTAAATATATTTAGGCAGATCAAGCACACAAACATGTATAAAAGCAAGCAAAGCAATATTTGCTGCTTTGTGCGTGGACTGTCGTTGAATACGACAAACATTGTACATACAAAAGGCAGTGGAATGATTACCTACTGCTTTTCATTTTTATCTATTTGAGTACGCAGATACATAGATACATATGCATATAATAGACAGGTATTTTAAGAAGTAGCATTTACCTGGTATATAATAAAAACCCACAAAACTATAATTAAAAGAAAATAGCTTTGCTAAATAGTATTAAGATACAATTAAAAAATATTATTTCACAAATTGCATAAATTATTTTAAATAATTTACATTAATTTAGATAATTTAAATTAAGCAATTAAATTAATTTCTGTGATAAAAAAACTTGGCAGCGGTGGGATTCGAACCCACGCCTCCGAGGAGACTGGTGCCTTAAACCAGCGCCTTAGACCGCTCGGCCACGCTACCTTAAACATATCAGATCGCATAGCTACAGCCGATCATGTCTTGTAATACAAAATAAATTATTTACTACACTATTTTATAGTAAATATTTAATTATATAGAAAAATATATCAACTTTTATACTAATGGAAAGCAGTTTTCGTATGAGTACTTCATTCAATTTATATGAATCATTAATAATAGATATTGATAGCTCACCAAAGTATGTAGCTTCAAAAATAACTATACATAATTGTTATTAAAATAGCTAACATTTTATACTAAACAATACTTTTTCTCTCAATACTCATAACTTTTTATTACATATATTTGTATATATTAATGTGTAACATACATTACGGCCATGTTACCAACGGTTCCATAGTGTAGCGGTTATCACGTCTGCTTTACACGCAGAAGGTCTCCAGTTCGATCCTGGATGGAACCACAGTGGATGACTACTTTTTACCACTATCCAACTAATAAATCGTATGTTATAAATGCAAATTACTTTCAATCTGATCATTTCCTAATTATGTAATTAAAAATTGATTAGCCTTAGTCACTTCATGTTTACACTTGGGCAATTAACCGGACAAAAGTGTAACAGTGCCATTTTCTATACGAAATATATATCAATAGCGTTTGATAATTGAAAGTATAAACATATGTTTATATGTATGCTATAAGCGAAAATATCATCATTTTTTAATAAAACGACCTAGATTTGGTTTCCTTCCATTACGGGTGTCAAACTAAACTTTCGTTGAAATGAGAGTTTATAGCATAGGTGCTCTGGTTTAGCAATGTAAACTGGACGCTTGAAATATAGTGAAACTAAATCTATTTGTCAGTCAGCTTAAAATGTAAAACGTCACAAAAATATTTTAGTCGGCACGTTTTCACTCTATATCTGATTTGAAAGTCTAATATTGGTTATTATTCATATTCATGACTATGTATCTTTTGTAGTCTATCTACCATCAAGTCTTTAGTCGCGTAAT